ACACACCAGACATGCATAGTTTTGAAGGGCTCATTAATATGTTTGCACATCACTATGAGCCTGCACGACATTGATCATGCATGAATTTTAGGAATTTGGTCAAGGTAATTCCCAAAATTGTTGACTTCACCAATCGAAGGTGTCACAATTTGCAAGCACATTCTTGATGGCCCCCCAAGCTCCTGTGACAGCCAATCCCAGCTGTAACAATGTTCACATTGTGGATGCTGCATAATATTTTACATTTAATTACACGTGACAACTGTGCTTTGTGGCTACATTCGTAAGGCAACACTAAGTAAAAAGGAAAATCACAATATATATCGCAAAAGCTGACTAATGTGATGACGATGAAGCTGCGGCTAATGAAATGAGACTGAACAATGACGGACTGTGATGGGCAATAATAGTTCACGATTTTATGTTGATGACACCCATAACAGATGATGAACACTCCGATAATTAAAGAGCATGTAAACTAAAGGACTGATGAAGAATGCATGCTACAGTGCAGGACTGTGAAAGACTACGTGGCTTTGGAAGACCTTTATCCAGCAGATCATGACTGATGACGATGGAGGCTAGCGAATGGGCCGCTGCGAGATTCTGCAACACCGGGCTGCCTGTCAGGAGCAGTGGCCTTCAGTCTGGGAGCAGACCCAGAGTGGGCTGACATTCTCACTGAAAAACAAGCACAACTATTGACGATGGCAATACTGCGAGCGAGCGAAACATCTAGAGAGACACGCCGGCAGCAGCGCCACTGCTAGCCTGGGGCCTCGGGAGCAGGCAACTAGCCCACTGTACCTCGAAAAAAACCTTCTAGCCGTAAAAAAATATGTAAAACAAATAAAACTAATTTCGATGGTTTGGCAGCTACACAACACAAACACCTGACTACACCTTGGCAGCAGGCGGGTGGCCACGCGCAGTGGTGTTGCGAAACTTTGCAGGGCCATTTCCGTGAACATTGTTTTCACGTTGGGGGCTGGGGATTTCCAGCACCAAGCAGACGGTGAAGAACCCTGTAATTTTGACAACGCGCCTCTGTCAACCGCACCAGACACACCGCGGGGCTTTCATTCCAAGGGGATTTTACCTGCAAAGCCCGTTTCCACCATCGTGAACATTTGTATTACCTTATTTTGAAACTTCGGTAAAAAAAAGTTCACAAAGGGCACATTGTTTGAAAAAGGGGGTGCGCATACATTCACACGACTGTAATGTGGAGAATATTACATTCTATTCCACGATGTCATTGACGAGGCACAGCTTTGCACGCCCAGAATTGGAACACGTTTTAATGAATGCTTGACTGAAGCACATTACAAAGTGCAATAAAAGGGTTAAAAGAAACCATTCCCGTTTTAGTGGAAAATTCCGTCGAGTGAATGGCCGTCGTGATTGCTCGAGGCTTCCGGTCACATCGCCAGCGGTGACACCTAGTCGCGCCATTTGATCGCAGCGAGCCATCCACACAGCACCGACGGGAATCCCGCAGGACGGATACGCACGGGCGTTACCTTGCAAGGTGGCTCAAACACACCTGACGGCTGCTTCTGAAACATCTTCGCGTTTACGCAGGATCAAACGGGACGGGTTCGATGTTCTTCGCCCATATATTGTAATAGTGTCACTGAGTTTAGGAAAACTATTTTGGCTGTCGTCACATAACAGTAAAAACAAAAGTCTCTGTGAACAAGCAAACATTGGGTCATGCTTATTAGCTATGTCCGGCAGTCTTGAGAAATTGCTGGAAACTTCACATTTCTATGGTGGAGACTGATTGTCCTTTGAGGACTCTATGAGGACCGATGGTCTATGAGGACCGATGGTCCTCATAGAGGGACCTGTGGTCATCTACAAATATTCTCCTATGAAGATCATAGGACAATCGCTGTTGCGTTCCCACAAAGCGTTACTCATTGTTATTGACCATAGAAAGAAGATTAGTTGAGTCGACCCCAACATGGGAGTTGAGCTCGTGATGTCCTTGATTGAGGTGCGGGGTGGGGCTAATAGAACTGTGGTCGTCCACAGATATGCTCCATTTATTAAGCTCTGTTATGGCACGACAATGTTTTTAAACCGGACAATAATAATAGGTCGAATTCACATTGAACTAGATGTAATGCAAATTGCAATATAATAATTTTACCATAAATTCATGGACGGCACAGTAGTATATTACTGTAGACAGCGAATGTATAAAGACATGGCTAACATTTGTGTGGTGATTTAATTTTATAACTTATCTTCAATTATGTCTTACCACCCCTCATTTCCCACAAACATTTCAACGGCCATCGTTTAAATGTTATTGAGCACCAAAATCTGTTGCCACTTATTTCAAGACTACTGTGTAGTCATATGTTAACCAGGCACATAGGAACTATAACATATAATTCCAGAACTAATTCAACATTTTCAGTGACATGTCAGTTTCAGAATCGCTGTGACAACTTGGCTTACATAACCAAGGCCGAGGAATTAGGCCGCAATCTGATGATTGTGACTTTCTCAACCACAGGACACCCAGTACGGTGCGCGTCTCAGTCACGCACTTCGCTTGGTTACCCTTACAAACAGGAAGTGACGCAGTGGGGCATTTGTAACTGAAAAAAAACAGCTCCTGGCCATCCACGTACATGTTTTACCTGTGGCTGATAGCGAGGCATCCAGAACACAAACACACCCACACAATCCTACGCTCAATTCTGACATATTTGTGAGTCAGTTCCTGTGTAAACAAGGGTGGCAGGGCCTCCTAAGAAGAGGCAATTTGGTTCTGTTCATCTTTGTTACCCCGAGCACACAATGTCAAATAATTTTATCTTACCAGCCAAGTATGAGCCAAACAATTCCTTTTAAGGGCGCACACATATCCGTTCCCGGCCACAGACAAAAAAAATCCCAGAGCCTTAGGGGACAGTGCAGAGTGAAGGGCATTATCTGGGTGCTTCACACCCTGGGAGTATCGACATGAACGTATAATTGCAGCAACACTCACAAGCACTAAATTGGGTTAATTCAAATAAGTATCACTTGTTCATTAAGACAGCGACCTCGCATTAGGTAGGATGTTTTTTTTTTAAACAGATAACCTTCACCCTTTAGTACTCTTGCAACTCTTAAAAATGGCTTCACTCCAACAGCCCCAAAATTCCTGAGACAAGTTCTATCACAAAGCAGTCAACAGGTTAGGCTCTCCATCCTGTCCCATAACACATCCCTAGGCAGGCCACTGACGTAAGAGTAACATCCTTCCCGAAACCATTATTTGCCAAAGAAAACCACGTGCAGTCTCCAGCACCCCCATCACTACCACACACAAAGATCTACCCATTGAGCCACACATATCGTTGGGGTGAGCATCATCTATTAAGGCCAGGACGAAACACAGCAGGGGTTCAGCACCATGCCTGGTCACTTTTGCCTCCCCAGTTTTGATATCATACCATAACAAGGCCAAGTCCAGCGATGTTGGGGAGACTCAGAACAGATTTATGCATCACGTTTGTATCACTTGCCAATGGTGTTGGTCTCTACAGCTGAGAAGTGAACTCAGGTTATTGGGTTCAGAGCGCAGCACGTAAACCACTGCACCACCAATCCCCAAGAGAACACACGCAAATGTGACGTTCAAAAGCGCCGCACGTAATTGAATTGTCGCAACTTGTTGGTCAAAGCACAGCCTGCTGCCAATTAATACCCCAAAAAAATACACCAGCACCAAATCAAACGTGGTGCGGTCATTTCCATTTTTTTCAAAGTACAAATTTTAAGTTTGCAAGGCGATTGCAAACATTCAACACGTTATTTGCATCTGGCTTATCAGCTCACCGAGATGCCTTTCTTCTCTCTGCTGTGGCGCGTGGGTCCCCCACGTCCGCCAGGCATGTGGGATACGGTCACATGACAGCAGCCTTCATTGGCGCCAGACACCGAGAGATGCGCGACTCTGGTCCCACACACGTGGCACTATGGGACAGTGTCCGAGACTACTGGAGAGACTTTGCCCATGTGACTTAAACAGTACAGCTTTTCATTTAGTTGGGGGCAAGAAAAAAATGAAAAGCAGAAACTTTTTCGTGAGATTGCACGGGGCATTCGGATTGATGCCCAATGCTGGTAAAAGTAGGATTAAAAAAAATACATCATGGACAGTGCCTTGATATAAAGCTACCATTTGTACGACATTTTGGAGGTATAATGAGCGTCCAGAAATAGCATCGCGCAGAATCACGTGAAAAATATTTCCTAAAAAGTTGGTCTTCTCCAAATACTGTATTAATTACAACTCGAGCAGGGAAATGGGCACTGGACAGACCACGTAGCAATGTGTAAAAACTGCATTGCTATGGCCCTAATATGTTAAAAGCATAACCATACTATACATATAATGTATGCTCTTGAATGTGATCTTTAAGCTAACATTTTGGGTTTTTTTTCATGGAGTTAATGAAGACGACGAGGATGATGGTGCAATACAATGACACTGGTTGATGACTGTTTAGTGATGAAGCAAACGAGGTGTGGACAGTTAATGATGACAGTGATTGAATATGATTAAGATTATAAAAAATATTAGACTAATGGTGGTGTATATATGTACAGTATGTTGAACTTCTTTCGCACCGTACGTAACCAACCGTGCTAATCGTAGGTGCGGGGAAAGGTCAACAAACCAAACTCAATGGACATCCATCCCCAGATGAAGATGCTATCAATATTGACAGTGGCGATGCCCACTGAGAACATTTTCATGACTCCTGCAATGGTAATAATTAGAAAAACTATTAAACATCACATTGGCAATGGGCAATGTTGGTAAACCTGATGAAGGAAAATGAGTTTGAAGATAAATAAAGATGAGGTTGTCGTGGCCAAGACCAATTGCGAGGCCAGTTAACAACACGTGAAATTCAAACATGTTCCATCCAGCATGACCCATCTAATCCCATCATCATCACCACCACCGCCACCGCCACCACGCTCACCATTGCAGGACTTGAGGTCACGGTGGATGATATTGACGATGGCCTCGTCGTGAAGGTACTTCATGCCGCGGGCGATCTGCACGGCCCAGTCGAGCAGGATGTGCGGGTGGATTCGACGTCCCGCCAGCGCCCTGTTGAGAGCGCCTCCGCGCGCGTACTCCATGATGAGGCACAGGTTGGGCGCCTGCAGGCACACGGCCTTCAGCGCAATGATGTTCGGATGCCTCAGCATGGAGAAGAGCTTTCCCTCCTGCCTCACGTTCTCCATCGTCACGCTTATGTCCTCGTCGGGGTCCTGGCGAGCGGCCTTCACGGCCACCTCCTCGCCGCGCCACGTGCCCCTGTAGACTTTGCCGAAGCCTCCGGCGCCAATGATCTCCTCCAGGGAGAGCTCCGCGAAGTCCACCTCCACCGGAGGATCCGCGAACAAACCCGGGGCCCTCTCGTTGTGCAGCTTCGCGTAGCTGCCCCGAGACTTGCTGCACGTCACGTAGTTGCTGGGGAAGATGCCCACCCTGTTGTTGAGCTTGCCCGTCCACCAGCCCACGTCGCCAGACACCTCCGAGTCCTTGGAGAGCACCTCCACCATGTCGCCGGGACGCAGCGTCAACTCGTCCTCGGCACTCGCCTCGTAGTCAAACACGGCCGTCCAAAGTGGGTTGGTACAGCTATATGGCTCCTGTTGCTGCTGTGGATGCTGCTGTTGTTGTTGATGTTGCTGCTGCTGCTGAGAATCGTTATTGCGCAGCGAATCGCGGAAACTTTTGGTCCGAGAGAAAATCCCCTTTAGAGGTTCCATGGCTCCGATGTGGCCTCAACAGGGCACCGACGTCTATGGCCTATCTCACGCTACGTGGCCATGAACAACGTAAATCACCTTCGGCGCGCGACCCTCAAGTCTCTACGGACATCGCCTGGGACACCTGCTGAAGCATCTCGTCGGTCCCTACGGAACTCCACGTCGCTTACAAACACAACGGGAACGCGCGCAGCTCCGCGTGAAGGGGGTCCCCCATCAGCACCTGGAAGACTTGACGGCACCAGGAGGGGTCGTGGTGGTGGTGGTGATGGTTGGTGGTGGTGGTGGGGAGGGAGGTAGGTGGTCTCGGGAGACTTCCACTCGACTCCGCGCTCTCTTCTTGCCCGACCCGCGTCTCTCAGTCTCGGGCCACGAAACTCTCGTCCGCGTCCTCGTCCATTCAAGTCGTCATCCGCGTCGGCCCGATCTCAGCGAAGCCGGAGACAGCGAGCGGAGCGAGCGAACGCGGTGGCTACGGTGGAGCGAGCGAACGCGGTGGCTACGGTGGAGCGAGCGAGCGAGGAGGAGGAGGGAGCACCACCGGGGGGTGGGTGGGGGCCGGGCCGGGCCCACTTCTGCCCCCGCCGTGTGGGTGTGGCGCGCCGGCTCGGAGCGTCACGCGCGATGTCTGCCAAAAGCACCGAAATGTGCCTCCTCTTCCACGCCCACACCAACCTCTCTCTTCTTTCTATCTCTCTCTCCTCTCTCTCTCTTCTTCTTTCTATCTCTCTCTCCTCTCTCTCTATCTCTCCTTTGTTTTTACGATCAGAGGAGACAAGGAGATGCTAGGTGTAGTCGGCACTTTGCTCCGTTCAACATTTCGTTTTTTTTTGTTTTTTATGCTTTGCTTTATGTAAACACCCCCCCCCCCCCCCTTTTAAATGAAAGACCCAACAAAATATTTTTTTCTGCTCTCCTTACCCCTTCCCTCTCTATCTCTCCTCTATCTCCTCTCTCTTCTTTCTATCTCCTCTCTCTTCTCTTTAACTCTTCTAAGAGTCTCTCCTCTCACTCTCCTCTTGGAAAAGTCTCTCCTCTCACTCTCCTCTTCGAAAAGTATTTCCTCTTTCTCTCTTCTATCTCTTCTAGAAGTATATCTCCTCTCTCTCTTCCTTCTACCCTCTCCCCCCCGGCGGCAAGACGAAGATTCCCCCTCCTCCGTTGCGCCTTCACAGACTGTAGGAGCAAGTGCTGTCACTGCAGACCTGACCCGTATTCTTGTACAAGGAAATTTAGTTTTCAGGTCCACGCGGCGTACAGACGTTTAAATACTGGCAAAAAAAATGTTATTTTAATGTTTGTGTCTATTTGTTTGTGTTTCTCCCTTGCGATGGGACTTTGTAGGATGAACGTTGAGATTTATAATAAATAGCACGGGTGTGACCAGATAAAGTCTGAATTGGTCTGTAATAAGGCAGAGGGCACTGATTAAGAGGTTGACAGGTATGCACCTACGAAGGCCGCCGCGGTACGACGAGGGGAATGGGTTGGCCAACAACTAAGCCCGACCGCCTTTGTCTCCCCGGTGGCGATGCTTTTTTTGTTCACACACCGCACCAGGTACTCATTTGAGGCTGAGTCGACCTAGGGGGTGGGAATCGAACTCGGGTGGCCGGGTGTGTAGCGCAGGACGGGGTGGTGATGAGAGACACCACCGAGTGAGGAAGACCCCACAAAGACAAAGATCCCCCGTATAGCCTGTAACAGACTGTTGGGGCAAGTGCTGTTAGCGAGCACCTCTGAACGCCGGCACGGCACACGAGGGGGTGGGTGGCCAGCACCAAGCCCGACTGCCTTTGTCTCTCGTGTTTACAACACCGCGCCGGGTACTCGTTTGAGGCTGAGTCAACCCAGGACGAGACCCAGAACCGGTTCAGATAATCGTCTCTGATGTTGGCTGTGAGATGGGAATGGAACTCGGGTCGCCGGGTTTGTAGCACAGAATCGGCGGTGGATGAAGACCCCACAGACACGCGCACCGCAATCCACGCTCTCAAGCCGCCATCTGGCGGGGGCTTTGAGAGAATGTATCTCTTATTTTGGTTTAACACGTCGTCAGGCTTTCTGCGACCAATAATTCATCCATGATATCGGGGTTTTTTTGGGTTAGATCGCGTAAATATATCTGTGTCGTTAAAGCCGCCACCACCCGACACGGCCAATTAGTAAGGGTTGTGTTGGATATATTGGGTCTTAAAAAATGACTAAAAATAATAAAAATTAAATGAAAATTTAACAATGTGTACTTTCCGAATTTATGGTAACTTATACAATCATGGAAAATATGCATTATGCTAATTATCAAGGTTTTATTGCAGCAAATTATGCACGTGGATGTAATTATGCTAATTAGTCTGTAACGCTTTTTTGTGTGTATTATCAATCGGGATAATACAATGAACAAGGTGTAATTGTATGAAGTTATGAAAGTGTATGTAATTGTGCTAATTAGGCTCTGCTTCGTTGTCTAGGGTTGTATTATCAATCAGGATAATACAATGATTCTCGCTTTAACTTTTACAGATTATGTTTGTGTGTTTATGTCAGGTCTCAAAATTCAGATCTCTCCGCAGGATACAGTTCTTATAATTAAGATTATTATGCATGAACTTAGGAAGGCACCACTCAGACTCTGTGTTAAGAAACTTTAATATTAAAAAAAACATAACACTCTAATGTGCGAACTCTTATGCGAGGAATGTAAACACAGTACTCCTGGAGATATCCTCCTCATTGATCCGTACATTTAACCCTCAATGATTACGTTTGTTAAACTGGGTAACAGAACAATCGGCTACTTCCTCAGAGTAAGGGGAGCATATTCTTACGAACAGTAATAAAGAAACATGTCCCGAAAGCAAAAGTAGACCTCAATGTATTCATTGGTAAGATTACGCAATTAACGAAATATCTTGGAAAAATGGTGTGCGTAAGTGTGCCTGCTTGTCTTGCAAATGCTTGTCTAACAAATGCTTATCAATTGGCTGAGGCTTCAATAAATTCGCGGGCAAGATTCTGTGATCAAAATAAATATTATAACACAATAGTCTCCCTGTGAGTGTGTAGATGCGTAACATAGATGTTTATAAATGTTAGTTTCATCAATTAATTCATTGGTACAGATTATGCAATTAACAACAAGAACGACTAAAATACTTCTAAACGACCGAATCCACGTAACTCAATGGGGCAGCAATGCTTTCCACGATCAGCTAATAGTTGACGCACCACCTTAGGATGGCCACCCTTTGTGAAACCCAAAGAGAACTTTGGAGTAATCTTATTAGTCCAGATATGGGGCGTTTCTTGTACCAAAAATTTGTTGGTTCCCTGCTGAGCGATGAGTCGTGTGTGCGCGTGTCATACACACGGCGCTCTCTGTCTCTCTCTCTCTCTCTTGGCGGCAGCTGCAGGCCTCTCTGCTGCTGGATGAGCTGAGTCGGCACGACGCTGGTCTTTGAAGGTGCCCGATTGAGCTCGCGGTTCGTCCGCAGGTCGCCGGTGCCGGCACTCTTGCCTGGCTGCGCTGGTTGCGCGCTCTACAGCTTGCTCGGTTGCTGCTCTCTGGCGATGCACGATTGCGCTAGCAACACGTTCGCTGGTCGCCGGTGCCGACACTCTTTCTCAGGTTGCGCCGGTCACGCTCTCTCCCTTGCACCAGGCACGGTTGGTCCTTGTAGACTTGACCTCTGCAGGAGTGTGCTCGGCTTCCGAGTCCGCACGCTGCTGCTGCTGGTCCTGTGCGATGCTCGCTTGGTTGATGCTTGGCGCTTTTCCGCCCTTTATCCAGGTTGATTGCTTGTCGTTGCTCGTCACTCTTTCTCTCTTGCTGCAGCTGCTGGTGGGAGCTGGCACTCAATGTAGAATAAAACTTGTCAGCGCCGAACGCATACTCGGTGACACATCGCGACTCTGCAAGCCTCGCCATCCTTGGTCAATTGCGGGACCGCAGCAAGACTGAATTGGGTGTATTGTATTCTTGCTTATATCTAAAATTCTTCCACCGCGACTCGCCTCCTCACAAGAGACCGGAATTCGTTTGATTTCGCTCAGCCTGTGGGAGCAACTGTTTGTCCGGTGTACCTGCGTGTGTGTGTCTGTTCTAATGTATTGAAGTAACTGTTAAGTCTCATCAAGGCCTGGTTCCTGTCCCCCTCATCAAGCCATCTCGGCAACTGTGGCTACAGATGCTTTCAATTGCCCATAAGTGTGTTTTTCTAGTTTTTCAACTTTCTGCAATAATTAATCTGGAAGGAGGAGGGGTTCCTTTTGTCAGGCTGCGTTCTCCCCCCCCCTCTCCCTCTCGGTTGGAGGCGTTACATTTTCTTGTCTTTCACAAAGAGGGGCATCGTCTCTTGAAGTGTGACCTCCCGTTACCATGTTTTCTGTTCACTCTTATTGGTTGTGAGTTGAGAGAAAAATAAACATTATTTTTCACCCCTTAGGATGTATCCCTGTCTTGCGGTGTTGACTCTTTAAGTGACTCAAGGTATGTTTTGAGCAGTGTTTACAGTACGTCCGTCGTGGTTTGGAAGACAAAGGCGGTTGGGAGGCTCTGATTCTATGGAATACATATTATCTTGGTCGCGTGTGATTGATGTGTTTCGCATTGTTTTTCTTCTGGATGGCCCTTGGTCTAATACTTCATAATTATTATTTGGTTTATGTTAAACAAATATTTGTAATCTACCGTAGTTGTTACCACAGATATTCCGAGGGTTTTATTAACTTGTTCTCCGTCTGTGTCGCCAGGGATCCGTGCTTATTATTCTCGAGTTATATTTTGATATCCTGAGGTTGGAGATATAACTAAGTTTTGACTTAAGCTTTCGTGACTGCTGGGATTCATATCCTTTGGTTCTTTTTGTAAAGTCACGTAGATATAAAGATACAATAACAACCAATATATGAGGTGAATAAGGGTTAAATAAAATAAGTAATAATAAAAGCCACTAATGTAGACTGCAGTCTGGTTCTTAATTTGAGAGTGTACTGGCAGTCTATAATGTCGGATTATTCTTGTCGTTAAGTTTCAAACTTTTACCGTAAAAAAGCGCTAGTTGTAATGTCCGTTTGCCCTGTTCCGTGTCTGTGTTTTATGCCCCCCCCCCCCTTGCACCGGAGTTTTATTACATTTTATGGATTATCTCCAGCTGCCTTCTTGTATGGCTTGTGAGAGGCAGCCGGGTGAGAGGTGAGGGTGTTTTGTTACACCTTTTTTTGTACCCCATGCTACACCCTGAATGATTATTATTTTAAAAAAATATTGGCAGAATTATTCTTAATATAATTTTTTGGAAAAAAGGCCTATATATACAACAGTTGCCACGTAAACAATCTGAGTATTCAGAATGTAAATGTTGTGGATTAGCTCTCCAACACACCGGTGTGCTGTACGAGTAACGAATTGGCATCAAAACTTACTAATTGGCTATGTCGGGTGGTGGCGGGATTAACAACACATATTTACGCGATCTGACCCAAGAAAACTAGATTATGGATGTATTTTTTGTTCGTGGACTGAACATATTGAGCGTGTTGTGCATTGCAACAGCCCTTTTGTCAATCCACTGCTGGATAACCAAATCCTCACACCGTGCGGGTGATCGTGGGGGTTATATGACCATGACCTCG